TAATTTTAAGATGTTTTTCAAGTCCACAATTTTTAGTATCACTCTATTTTGAAGTCATTTTTTACCATAAATTCCTATAATTTTTAGTAAGTTTCAATACTGATTTGATATAATATTAATATAACTTTCTTTCCTGTAGCTTCTTCTAGTGCACAAGAGATACTAAAGCTTTCGGAGCTAGTCGGGACGGTAAGTATTTAACTCCTGCACAAATGTTTCATGTAACAATGGTGCCTAAGGTAGTATTGCATATATAATCTCATGTTTGATTTTCATAACCGGAATGTATCCGACATTTCAAGTTCCTAATCGCCTTCTTCCACTGACCTGAAGAAATATGATATGCCTTCTTGGTGGCAGTTTCATCATTCTTCAATCTCATTATGCTCAACCTACACTCACATCAAAAAGGGTCTTCCAAGTATATGGATGTGTTGTGATTGGTAAAGATATGGTTTAACACAAAGATTCCACAACACTGTTTGACAAAGTGAGTTCCCTCACAGCTCTTCTTCTCCATGTTTGTTACATTTTACTCAAAAACATCTGTATTGATTTCAGGCTGCCTATTATGCACATATAGAAAACTACAACCCTGTTTTCCATGAAAAAATTGCCCCCTATGCATCTGTAATTGGTATGTTTTACACTTTGCTATCAAACCTATTTAGATTTTTTCCATGACAACTAGAACCCTATTTAAGCTTCTGTTATTTCCCCCTTTGGCAGTGAATTGCATGTACTTACTGGGAGAAACAATTTACTAGATATTGAGTACCATATTATCCTCATTTAATTAATAATTTCAATTCTTAATGTTTGCATTAGCAAGGACATTTTCTGGTATTTTGAATGTTTTACCATTCTCTGCCTTTTGCTTTATATATATAGATAATTTGGGGCCCTACAAATGCGAGGCCCATGGCCATCGACCTCTTGCCCACCCTCAAGGCCGGCACTGACAGGATCAACGGTATTTTTAAGTCCAACGTAGACAATATCAAGCATATATGGTACATATATATAATATTTATAATTTGGGGCCCTACAAATGCGAGGCCCATGGCCATCTCCCTCCTTGCCCACCCTTAGGGCCGGCACTGGGTGTGTTGTGCCAAGGGTCCTATCCTCTTTATAGGGAATCACCCTAGGCTTTAAATCTACATCAATTAGGAACCCTAATCCTAATATAGGGACAAAAATTGGGAAACTAGAAACAAAAGTTTCCTCATTTTGAAAATAGAAGGCATTGCACCCAAAGAAAAAAAAAAAAAAAAAAAAGGAGAGAATGCACGTGTGGGAAAAGGGAAGTGCGGAATAACTTGCATAATAAGAAAAATTAAAATCCTAAATTATTTTTAAAAAGTATAACTATATCGGGAAAATAATATCTTAAAGGATTATTTGGGGGTATTTGATACATGATAAGGGACTTGGAAATGGGGAATCAAATGATTTCTCATGTTTGGTAAGTCCAAACATGGGAAATAGTTGTCTCACACATGGAAAAATAGGGGAGCGGAAATGAAACCTCTCACCTTGGATTTCATTTTTTGTTCTCATAGGTCTATGTGTGTGAGTTTTCCCCTCTCCACCTTCCTAACTTTGACAACAACAAAAAGATAAAATAAGAAGTTAAATCCAAATCTTACCAAAAAGAAATTTTTCTTGAAAGTAGCTCAAGCAACACATGAAAATCCCAAAAATTCTTACAGAATTTGCAAAAGAGGTGTGAAGTACTTTCAAAATGATTTTGTACTGATCAAGTGACATGCATAGAGAATTCTTTAAGAAAATATAAAATTCTCAATGTTATCTTCTACCGATCAAGTGTTGTACAAGCATGTACAAGCACCACTAAACTTACTCATAATTTTCATTATTGTAAGAGAAATCAAAGAAATAATCACGCTCAAGCCAAGGAACACCAGGTAACAATATTATTTTCCTTTAGAATATTCCTCAATGCTTTTAAGTCTTTAATTCTCAACATCCATACTTTTGTAGGTTGTATAGTATCTTCAAGGTCTTCAAAACTGCTTTCAACATCCGTACTTTTGTAGGTTGTATAGTATCTTCCTCATGCACCTATCACGATCAACACAACTAACACCCTACAATAGTATTTTATTCTTTAACATGTCCCTGAATGCTTTTAAGTCTACAATTCTCAACTTTCATATTTCTCCAGGAGTTACATGATCTTTGATGTCTTCAAAACTACCTTAGAAGTTAGCAATCTTGAATTCTTCGGAAATAACAACATGTATTTTTGTTCAAGCTCATATGGAGAGAGAAAAAACACGAGAATGTAACTGTTTTATTGCTCCTAAAATGTTCATTTACAATGGATTAAAAACAATATGTCGATTTTAATTACAAAATGATACATAGTCGAGAAAAATAAATAACTAAACATCAATATAATTCTATAACAATCTTGATTTCTTCATAAACAACGACATAATTGTATGTAACTCATATGAAAAAAACAACTACAATGTATCTCTTTTGTTGCTCGTAAAATGTTCTTGCATAATGGATTACAAACAATATGTTGGATTTTAATTGGAATAAGATACATAATTGAGAAAAATAAAACACATCAATATAATATACCAAATCGCATCGCCCAGCCAAAATGATAGAGTACATAATTGTCATCCCTCGCTTGCCTTCCAAGAGCCATACGAGTAATCATTTTATCTAGAAGATGATTAAACCAATCATAATACAATATCTATAAAATTTGTGTGGTTCATAGTAAGCTGCAAACCAAGCTTTCAAAATCCTACTATGATTTATCTTGGAAGTTCATAAAAGTATTTTATTGGCTAATTTTTCTTCCGAAACGTTAAATTTTAAAAATCGAACATCATTTTCTTCACCATCTTCAAAATATATTTTTTCAATCAAATAGACTTGAGGTGAGTGGTTTTTTAATGCATACTCAACAAGTTTAGAGAAATCATAAGGAGGTCCAATACTCTTTCACCCTAGTATGCGCTCTTCTTCTTATACCTAAAAATATGTTCAAAGACTACAACCATTCTTCCAACATCATTCCTTTTTTTTACTTCTTGAATTCTAATACTATAACAATATTAATTTCTTCGAAAGCAACAACATAATTATATGTTTCATTTCAACTCATATGAAAAAAAAAAAAAAACAATTATAATGTATCTCTTTTGTTGCCCGTAAAATGTTCTTGCATAATGAATTACAAACAATATGTCGGATTTTAATTGGAATAATATACATAATTGAGAAAAATAAAACACATCAATGTATGTATTCACTTGTTTACCAATATAGTTACTCTTCTTCTTTTTTGTCCTTACGCAGAGCACAAATTTAGTATTTATCACTCAGTTTCCATGTAAGGATTTAACTAATTCTAATGAAGTGGTATTATCATAAATTTATCTAGCATCAAGATTCAAGATTGATGTGATATGATATGATACACACAAAATGATAAAATAAAATAAAATAATAGTCTTTCACACAAGACAAAATGTTAAAATGGTCTGGCCCTCTAAAATTGGACAAATCGATCTAGTAACTGTTCGACAGTAACATGAAATAATTTTATGTCATGGTTGACAGTGACCTGAGAGTTCTTTAATGTCACTCTCAGTGACTGACTTAAGAGTCTATTTCATGTCACTATTGGACTAGATTGGTTTGTCCAATTTTTAAAGAGCTAGACCATTTCGTCTTAATGCCCTCTTACTTATCCTTATATGGTAAAGCCCCTATAATATAACTTTCTTTCCTGCAACTTCTGCAATGCCAAATCTTGAGCCCGCTAGCTAGAAAATCTTGAATTATTTTAGTTGCTTGGGGTGCCTTTTTATTTTAACTTTTCGTCTTTGCTTAGAATACAAGTGAAACGACTTTTAGGAAACACGAGAAAATGAACAAAATATGAAAACGACACCTTCCACCACAGCTTCCCATTCTCATTGATTTGAGTAGTTTGACAAAGGAAAAGATATACACTAACTGCCAAAGTGCCACAATGGAAAGTTATGACACGTGGCTTGCTTGCAGCATTTGGTGTTCATGATACGACACGTAATATTGCTGCTCAATATTTAGAAACACGTATATTTTGTGTGTATAAGTAAAAAACCATCTCAATTTGTTTCAGTGATGGGTTTTGATATTGGCTTAGCCCACTTGTCTTTGTGTATTTTACTTATTTCTTTTAGTTTTTCGATTTACATGTCTTTATTTCTCCTTATTTGCTTTTGTGTAGGGTGTGATTGTTGATATTCCTTGTAAGTAGTTTTGAAAAGGTGTCTAGGATTCCTTTTTTTTTTTTTTGTCCTCGTGTGTTTGGTTGATGTCGCGATTCATTTTTAAGATTTTCCTGCCTTTCACATTTAGGTTTCGAATTATGTTTTTGCTGTCTTTTGTACTTTTTTAGAATGCTTTTATTTTATAGAGCATCTTCTCAAAAAGAAAAAAAGAAAAGAAAAGAAAACTTATTTAGGCTTATATCAATTTTTCTATTGTCTCCTTTATATGTTATAGATGTAATGAGGGAAGGTCAAGGTCACTTGTGGCATGGGCCTCACTTCGCCCATGTTCATGAATGGGAAGAATTCCAAAAATAATGTGTTAATGAACACATAATAAATTAAGATCTAGAGATATAATTAATTTATTATTAAAATAAATTTGAGTGGGTGGATCCATTTTTGTTGGGTGCATGTACAATCACCCACGAAGTTATCTTTCGATGTTAATAGTTATCCAATCGTGATTTGTCAATTAAAAAAGACAACCAATTAACGCTAAAGGTTAGTGCCCAAGAAAAAAGGACCAAACAATCCGAACAAGTCACCAACCCACGTGTCCGATATGTATACATATATAACTTGTCCCGAGCGGCAAAGCAAACCAAAAGAAGAGGAAGTTCGTTACGTCACCGTACATGCGGGAACAAACGTGGGGCAATCCAGTTGGAAAGTTGAAGCTGACTGAACCTTTGGGAAACCATGACATGACGAGGATATTCAGACAGTGAAATTTCATAATTTCATAAATGTATAATGTGTGTGTGTATTTTGTATATATTTCCACAGATATCAGGGCAGGGATCAGACACATGACTCGTTCCTGAATCATACAAAACAAAAACAAATAAATAAATAAAAGCACCAATTTCCCATATCATCAAAACTGTTTCTTGTGATCACTTGTCACTTTAGCAAACTAGCAATTAATTCACCCTCCTCCTCTTTTCTTTCTGGTTTATCAGTCTCTTTCTCATCAATAATTACTCTCTTTCTCAGTCAGACTCTGATACCAACTACACAGATAAACAGAGAACAAAAAGAAAAGAAAAAACAACAAAACAAAGTTCTGAAGAGTAATTGAAAGAGTTTTGGCATTTTGAATTGTTGAAAGAGTTTTGGTGGTGGTGATGTATGGATCTTTGATCTTGGTTTTGGGTTTTTGTTTTGATTGATCTTGATTCTTGCTAGAAAGTGATCAAATTAAGGCAGAGGAAGATCACAAAGCTTCAGAAAAAGAAAAATGCTTGGAAATGGGGTGGTGGGGATTTTGTCAGAGTCAGTGAACAAGTGGGAGAGAAGAGCACCTTTGACTCCATCTCACTGTGCTAGGCTGCTCCACAGTGGCAGAGACAAAACTGGGGTTGCCCGCATCATAGTGCAGCCCTCCACAAAGCGCATCCACCATGATGCAATGTATGAGGATGTTGGGTGTGAAATCTCTGAGGATTTATCCCAATGCGGCCTCATCCTTGGCATCAAACAGCCCAAGGTACTATTTTTTGCACTCTTTTTTTCTGCTTTGCTTTCAACGTAATATAGCGTCAAGTTTGTCAATGGGTCACCAATATTGACACAATTTATTGGCTTTGGACTTGTGGTGCAGCTGGAGATGATTCTTCCTGATAGAGCCTTTGCATTTTTCTCTCATACTCACAAGGCTCAGAAGGAAAACATGCCACTCTTAGACAAGGTCTTGTCTTGTTTGCATTTGCATATGTTAAGAGCAGGGCAGTGATTTATAATACCATGTTTTGCTTCATTACCAGTTTATCACTGTTTCTGTGGTGTGCAGATCCTAGCTGAAAGGGTGTCCCTCTATGATTACGAGCTTATCGTGGGGGATCAAGGGAAAAGACTACTTGCATTTGGAAAGTATGCTGGTAGAGCCGGATTTATCGACTTCCTGCGCGGGTTAGGACAGAGTATGTTCTGTTTCATACAATGTCAATTTTCAACTACTTACTGGATTCATATGCTCTGGCTGAATTTGTTGTTCAAGGAAATTTTTTTGCTGCTTTAGTTTACTTTTGAGTGCATGCAACTTTAGAGCTTGGGATGGTCCATGAGCTGGACTTTCCTATGTGGTTTCTTTAGCTGTATTGGTGTTTGAGATTTGGTACTTTGGATGTGAGGTATTGCATTCATTTTTTAAACCTTCTTTCTGTTTTTCTCATTCTTTCTTTTCTTTGTCAAGGATACTTAAGTCTTGGATATTCAACACCGTTCCTCTCATTGGGTGCATCTTATATGTATACGTCCTTGGCTGCTGCCAAGGCTGCAGTGATTTCCGTGGGTGAAGAGATAGCAACTCTGGGACTACCATCAGGAATCTGCCCTCTGGTCTTTGTCTTCACCGGTTCAGGAAACGGTACATTGCATATAAATCTCCTCTCATAAACATTAACAATATTGTCAAAATTCTGTTACTAGGCAACTTTCTGCAAATGCAACTCAAGAACTAAAATTTTGAAATTGCATAGGTGAATTGCAGAGTTCTTGTGTCTCACTTATTTACATTTTTAATTTGATATTGTTTTCAAGTTCTTATGCAGAGCACCATTTTTAGTATAAGTCAGTTCACATGATGCAGGATTTTACTATTTCTTATGAAACAAAAAATCTAGTATCATAATAGCTCTGATGTAACTATCTTTCCTGTAGTTTCTTCTGGCGCGCAAGAGATATTTAAGCTTCTTCCTCATACTTTTGTGGATCCTAGCAGACTTCCAGAGCTATCTGGGACGGTAAGTCGTCAAACCAGCACATAAATTGTGGATTTACTATTGATGCTTCCAACTGGATCCTGTAAGATAAGAATAATAGGACAGAAAAAGGGCACTTCTAACCAGGTTCTCAGTGACTTAAGACTTGAGAGGGATAAAATGTTAGGTGCTAACACCCCTGCACAGACATATGGCATGCCTTCTTGGTATTAGCTTTCTAAGTTTTCTTTTTTATTAGGACAAGGATGCTGCTCAACCTACAAGATCATCGAAAAGGGTCTTCCACATATATGGTTGTGTTGTGACTAGTAAAGACATGGTTCAACACAAAGATTCCACAAGAGCATTTGACAAAGTAAATTCCCTCATATTCATATCTTATTTTGCATTTGTTCATTTTATTAATAGATCTTCGATTTATTTTTTCTTAGATCCTCCGGATCCTGAACACTTATAACAGAAAGAACTTTAAACATCTGAATTTATTTCAGGCTGACTATTATGCACATCCAGAACACTACAGCCCTGTTTTCCATGAAAGAATAGCCCCTTATACATCTGTAATTGGTATGCTTTACACTCTGCTATCAACTTTTTGAGACAAATCATTTGGGTTAGTGTCATTTAGTAAGTGCCTCGCTTGGCTTATAAATTAAGAAGGATTCTTGAAATATTATGGTTATTAAATGCACTCTTTAAGCTTCTTTTTTCTGCTTCTTTTTTTTCTGTTTTTTGGCTGGCAGTGAATTGCATGTATTGGGAGAAAAGATTTCCTCGCTTATTGAGTACCAAGCAGTTTCAAGATTTAATGAGGAAAGGATGTAAGCTTATTGGAATCTCTGATATAACTTGTGATATAGGGGGATCTATAGAATTTGTCAACCAAACCACGCCCATTGACTCACCCTTCTTCAGGTATAAGTTATAACATCGATAGATTCATGCATGAATACAACCTTGAAATGTATGCACTTGCTCTAGACATAGAATTTTCAGCTCTGATAATAACAGTTCTCTTGGTATTTATTTCTGCTGTATCAAGCCTTTGATTCATGTGGGATATATATTTATCTCAATCCGTTTCACATACTCTTACCATTTATTTCTAATATGTTCAATCATGGTTTACAGATATGATCCTATGAATGATTCTTACCATCACGACATGGATGGGGCTGGCTTGATATGTCAAGCTGTGGACATTCTTCCAACAGAATTTGCAAAAGAGGTGAAGTACTTTCATGGATGGGACTGGCTTTTTCTTTAGCAAATGCAACAATTCTAGGATAATTTAAAGCCTTACAGTTCTCATTATTTAATAAAGCATTCCATTTTATTTTTGTGAAGGCTTCCCAACATTTTGGAGACATATTGTCCCAATTTGTTGGTAATTTGGCTTCTACAAGAGACATCACAAAGATACCTGGACACTTGACGAGAGCTTGCATAACCCATGGAGGAGTACTTACCTCATTGTATGAATACATTACACGTATGAGAAAATCTGGCTCAGAGTAAGTTTCAATTCCATCTCAGGCAAGGGCATATTCTTGCCTTTCGCTCCTTTTCTCTTAATAATCGGGTGCAGTAAGTTATTCATAACTAGTAATTTTCTTCAGCTTGGAAGAACTGAGTTTTGTCTCTTTCATATTTCTTTTTTGTCAAAAAAGAAAAAGGTTCAGTCTCAAACCACAGCAAACTGATTACTTGGTCAGAAATCTGTAACGTGCATTCTTAAGTTGTGTAAAAAAGTTTCTGAATTGATCTTGGAGATAATTGCCCTATGAGGATATGCTTTTCTTGAGTATTACAATAAGCATATATTATCTTTTCTGATTTGCAGAGAAATATTAAAAAGTCCTTCTAAGCACCAATCTAACAAGAAGTATAACATATCAGTAAGTTTCTTTATTTCTCTTACATCTTTGGATGTTGCTCGTCTTCTCATGCCAAAGATTATATGAATTATCCTAATTATCCTAAACTTGTGTTAGACTATCTCCTAATCAACATTGCTGAATGTAATCATAAATGACAGGTATCTCTCAGTGGTCACTTATTTGATCAATTTCTGATAAATGAGGCCTTAGATATTATTGAAGCTGCAGGTGGCTCCTTTCATTTGGTTAAGTGTGACGTGGGTCAATGTTCTAATTCTATGTCATTCTCAGAGCTTGAAGTAAGTACATCAAGTTTGATTATGAGAGAGGTTTTCTTCAGTTTTTTTTTTCCTTACAGTATATATTGTCTTTAAATTCAATTTCACACTATAAAAGCAGTGTGCAAAATGTGAAGGATGTTTATAACCACTGTTTGTAAAAAAAAAATTTGTAAGAAATGACTTATCTCCCTTGAGTGTACTTGTTCTGCTATGATTTTCGTCTGATGAAAGTTGAAACTATAATTGTCTTGATATGAACAGGTGGGTGCAGATGATAGGGCAGTTCTGGATCAAATTATCGACTCTTTAACTTCTCTTGCTAATCCAAACGAAAATTATGATTTAAAGCAAGAAAAAAATAAGATTTCTCTGAGGATTGGTAAAGTCCAGGAGAGTCCTATGAAGGAAAATGGCACGAAAAGAAAGGTTGGGGTTCTTATAATTGGCGCAGGCCGGGTATGCCAACCAGCTGCTGAGATGTTAGCATCAATTAGCGAAATGTCATCCCAGAAATGGTGTAAAGCATGCCTGGAAGATGATTTTGAAGAGAAGAATGATGTGCAAGTTACTGTTGCATCTCTCTATCTAAAGGATGCTGAAGAGGTATAACTGACCAAAATTATTTTTCTATTGCAAAAAACCTGCTTTAAATCCTACGATGGTCATCTTAATTTCAACTTTTTTTATGAGAATGTACATTTTTCTTTTCCAAGCATGATGTGCAAATTTTTGTATGTATCTTTATGTTTGTCTTGTCCTTTTGCTTTTGAATATTTTGATACTGAAAGATTCGGTGCAGATTACTGAAGGTATTCCAAATACAAGAGCAGTTCAACTTGATGTGACGGATACTGGCAGTCTTCATAAGTATATATCAGAGGTAAAATGACTTTTCTGCAGTACACTGTGATACACTGTAAAACTGGTATGCAGCAAGGTGCACCGCAAAGTGCTGCATTAATGCTTTAAAGAGCAGTTTTTGTTAACTTCTAATATGTACTCATGACAATTAGCTGCTCCTTTCTCCTTGTGTTCAAGATTAACCTTCAATTACGGCCTTACATTGTTGCTTTCTTTTATTCCCTCTTGCAGGCTGAAGTTATTATAAGTTTACTGCCAGCTTTTTGCCACATTACTGTAGCAAATGCATGTATTGAGGTACTTCACATTGTCTCAACGTTATATTTACTTATATATATTTCTTTCTTTCCTTTATTTTTTGGTCTTGCCTTTCTTCCTACAGTTTGAGCTAAGGAAAAAGTTTCTGTCTTCATGCAGCTTAAAAGGCATCTTGTCACTGCTAGCTATGTTGATGATTCAATGTCAAAGCTAGATGAAAAGGCAAAGAGTGCCGGTATTACGATTCTTGGTGAGATGGGCTTGGACCCTGGGATAGGTAATCATTTTGCTGACAATATGAATGATAAACAGACAGTAACCAGTCTCTCTGGACAGCCTACATGTCCAATAGAAATGGAGTGTTTTTTAAACTCTACTGGATGTGATATATTACATTAGACACTTTTCATCAGGTTTATTGTTTTCTTACCATTTTTTAGATTAAGCATTTATTAGTTTGATTTTGTCCTACTTCAGATCATATGATGGCAATGAAGATGATCAACCAAGCACATGTCCGTAAGGGGAAAGTCCGGTCTTTCACCTCGTATTGTGGTGGACTCCCATCCCCAGCTGCAGCAAACAATCCATTAGCGTACAAATTCAGGTAATTTGGATTGGACAAGTATATATGTGACTGAGATTTTATCCTTACTAAGTAATAACCCTAGCTTCTAGTTTTAGTTGGAGTTACTTACTACTGATCAATCATTTCAGTTGGAGTCCTGCAGGAGCTATTCGAGCCGGGCGCAATCCTGCCACGTACAAGTCTAGGGGTGAAATTGTACAAGTTGATGGTAAGTTGTTAATGATGAGGGAAAAAATGATTAGTCCAAGGATTCAATTAGATGTTTGTGATTTGTCCTTTCTCTGCTCAAAGAGTTAGCCAGCCTCACATAATTCTGATATATTTTAGCCAGTAACATATTACAAGGATGCATTGATTTTTCTGGAGGTCTGTTTTCACTCTTTCACTTTACGTTACAAAACTGCAGGAATGAATCTCTATGATTCAGCTGTGAAACAACGGATTCCCAACCTACCAGCTTTCGCGCTGGAATGCCTCCCAAATCGTAACTCACTAGTTTATGGGGAATTGTATGGAATAGGACATGAAGCTTCAACCGTCTTTCGTGGAACCTTGCGCTATGAAGGTATGACATGTTCGTCTTTTAGGCTAAGCTAATGTTTAGAGTCACACTAGAAAACTTGATAGATTTGAGAGTCGTCAAGTAAGATTTGTTATATAGGGTAACATGGGTCATGGTAGAGAGAACAAAAACTGAAGACAGGGATGCATCAGGTGGTTAGTTCAGGGTGTTACATGACGTTCATGGAACTTACGAACAATTATTTTGCATAGGGTTTGGAGAAATAATGGGGACACTCTCAAGAATTGGTTTATTCGAATCCGATCCTCATCCACTTCTCAAGGATGGAAAGAGACCCACATTCAGGAAATTTTTGTCTGAACTTCTCAAAATCGAAGGTGAAGATCTGGATGGACCCTTGATAGGAGAGAAAGTCATCCATGAAAGGATTATCAAGCTTGGATACTGCAAAGATCAAGAAACTGCATTGAGGGCAGCCAAGACCATAACGTATGCACATTGTATCTGTTACCCATTTTTCTTTCCGTTCTTATTGTGTGCCCAAATTTTATAGACTAAGACTGAAATGGCTGGAAATTTTCTCCGTTTTCGAATAGATTTTTGGGACTTCATGATCAGAAAGAAATCCCTGCCTCCTGCCGAAGTGCATTTGATGTGAGTTGTCTCCTCATGGAAGACAGGTTAGCATACTCCAGCACAGAACAGGTAAACTCCTTAGCAGTAGATAAAACAGGATTGGCACAGCCAAGTCATTTTATACCGAAGACGGCTTTTATATTCCTATCTATATTGCCAAACTTATGTGTTATTGGAACTTGTGTGATTTGTGGTCAGGATATGGTGCTTTTGCATCATGAAGTAGAGGTTGAGTTCCCAGATGGACTTAGAGAGAAGCATTCAGGCACTTTACTGGAATTTGGGCAGACTAAGAATGGTAAAATGATCACCGCCATGGCTTTCACGGTTGGCATCCCGGCAGCCATTGGAGCTCTGGTACTTACTATATACGTTCCTGTGCTTCTACACCATGAAGTGAGGTAATGCCTAAACAAGTTTACTTCTTTTGCAGCTCATACTTGGAAACAAGGTCAAAACAAGAGGGGTCTTGAGGCCTATTGAACCAGAAGTATACGTCCCAGGTAACCACTTGCTCTTGTTTTCGTTTGGTTTGGTGTTCTATAATAAAGCTCTTATCATAGACATTTATATCAGACTTCTAGGTCTCTCTTTTGTTATTTAGCCTTTTTAGACATGAAATTTCATTGGCTGCAACAGTTTAACTGGAGTTGTTTGTGGTAATGCAGCCATGGATATAATACAAGCTTATGGCATCAAGGTAATGGAGAAGATCGAGTGACCCAAACAATCCCCCTACCTCTTTCCTGTGTAGATGCAGCTATTCACCAGATATTCGATGCACAACTAGTGCCTCGTTTCGCTTGACTGCAATGGAGCATAGATACTTGAAAGGGAGAGTTTGATACAATTATGTGGCAGGGCTCCAATGATGGGTTTGCAATGCCTTCCCAAGTTTTGTGGAAAGAGCGCTTGCAACTTAGAGGAGCTCCCTATTCCTACATTAATGTCAGCAAAATAACTTTGTGAACAATGGATTTGAACAATGGTTCTTCATATTCTTTGTGACTTTTCAGGTCAGGGATGGAAAAAGGGTTCGCATGAGCTTGAATAGTGAAGTGTAACCAACATATTGCAAGAATTGTTTTTCTAGTATAATGATGTACTACAACCTTTGTGCATCTAATTCAAAAGAGGCCAATTCATAAGTTCAATACGCAATATGAACATGCATTTTCATGGTCTGTCAAATATAGAACATCAAGGTTAGAACAAAATTTGACTTCTCAATATTCTACTAGCAACAGCAGAAGCAGCAACGGCAAATACAAAACAAAACAAACAACTGGCATCCTAGTTTTGAAAAGCTGCCATTGAGTGAATACGGTGGTGGTGGTGGTGGTGGTGGTGATTTGAGGGGGGGGTGGGCCGGGGCTCCACTTCAGAATAAAACAAGATCAAAATTCAATGTTTGAAAATTTTGGATTGTTTGAGCATTTCGTCATCATCCGTATTTACAACTTGCCAGTTTTCCTTCTACCTTATTCTCTTCTAAATGTAAAATAAGGAGAAAAGGAAAAGAAACCAAGCCCTAGCTGTTGACTTTGAGCATTCTGACACCTAGCTTTCAGAATAGGGCGAAATGATAAGAAGATATTATCACTTCTCATCATTCTCCTACTCACTGAGCAACCCTACTTGGCAGGTCTCTAGAGACTATGGAGTTTCTTCATCAACAATACTTTCTTTAGCATCCATCTGATGCTCTCATGCATTAGAATGAATTCAATATATCTTGACAAATTGGTGGTCAATCTTGTACTAGGTTGTAAGAAAAACTACGAAATAATCCATGTCATTAAGTGCTTCTCCACTGCTTCCCAGTTATGAACCTTGGTGACCAGGGGGTGTTGAATAATTGACTCAGTCTTGCACCACGGATATGAGTTCTCATAATCAAAAAGAAGAACCCTGATCCCAGCCTCAGCACATTCAAGCGCATATCTTGGATTGTCATCAATTAGAACCTTTGCTCCCAAGGACCTGGCAAGTACATTTCATCAGAACATAGAGGAACTATCATATGTATAGTAGGTGATTGCACATTCATTTCGGATTTGCAGGTTCTAAAAGCATAAAGTAAGAACAAGCTTCAAAAGATGCATACAAAGAAGTTTAGAATACATGACATCAAACTATCTACAGTGGCTCACGGTCATACCTGCATATTTCTGACTTAGGCCTAGACTCTCCATCTAAAGCAAAGTGGTTGCCAAAGTGAATCTCCTGAAACAGTCCTGGAAAATGTTTTTCAATCCATTGAATTGTGTGGTCCTTAATTGCATTCTGTCTAGACCTATTAATGCACGTAGATGCCAAAAGATTAAGTTAGTCAAAGCTCTGGTAAACATAATAACAAATTAACTCTGCTAATTGTACATACGTCACAACTGACAGGTCACAAAATCCTGACAACTTATGAATTGTCTCCTGAGCACCTGGGAGTGGGTGGATCCCGGTCTTGAAATATGATGTTTTAAAGAACTCATGCACACGAATATCGGCTGTCAAAACAAAGTAGATATTACCAATCATAGCAATGGCAGAAAAAGAAGTGCACGTAAAATGTTTTACATAGAACCCTAAAAACTTTTATCAGTTGGAGAGTACATTTCTAATAAATGTTATCAACATCCAACATATTACACAAAAAATAAAATATAGATCAAATGTTCACAAAAGTAAGATAAATTTATTCTAAGGCTGTCAGTTAGTCAGTTCATATGTCTGATTAAAACGACATTCAATGCAATTAGAAATTTGACCATGCAACCAAATGAACCTGGTGATTCAAATGCAAGTTCCATTTTCAATATCCAATAAACAGTATTAAACTAGGAATTAGGTAGGTTAGTTCCATGTACAATCTGTAATTCATAAAAAGTGCCAACTAGCATAGCTGATAAAAGTCCTTTCGTGTCATAAATGATGATCATGATGACAATGATAATGCTGATGACGATGATGATGATAACATCCCAAATGATCTGAAAATAGTAATAATAAAAAAAGTGAAGCATACGTAGTACCTTCATCACGAGAACAGTTCCATATCTGTAACAGAAAAATATGATGCATCAGAATATGCCCAGGGAATTTTTTTAATCAAAGAAAAGGGAGCAGAAAATGTTGATATATATCCTTGAAGCTTGCTGCCAAAGAGAATTGGCACCTTAAACCACACACTAAAGAACTCAGATTGCTGGAGTAACAAATCAACTCAACTCAACTCAATCAATAAGGGTGGGAGATATGCAGGAGGCAAGCAAACATTACCATATCACAACCCAAGAAAACAGCTGAAATGTAAAACATAAGATCACAATGTAAACTAGCATAGTCAAGCAGGAAGAAAAGTAAGTTAGCAACATGGCATGCTCAATCCAGGAAACTAGTCATAGTTCGCTATTATATCAACAATGCTACAGCATTGAAATGATGGGTCATATCTACTTGCACTCTGAGATATGGGACACAAGGAAACAACCAACAATCAAATGAAGCTGTCCAGACTCATTGACTCAATTAGTTAGCAGGCGATACCTTGAAGAACTCATAGACATGGTACTCTGAAACTGAATGGTGGGAGGAGTAACGATCAGCAATAAACCTGTTGAGAGCCGACACAAAATTTCCCAACACTGCTCATCAAAAACAGAATAAACATAAATCAGCAAAAGACAAGCTCAAGTTTATATCTATTGATAAATCAAGACAAACCCAAGTTGGAAAATAGAGAATAGAACAAAATGATCACAACAGAAAATGGCAATCAATGCATGCATTACATACCCTCATCCACATCAACAGCAACGACGATTTTATCATCGGGCAAAGAATGGGGAGGGATTCCAGTGTGGCTTCCACGCTCCTGGCAACCATTAGAGGAGGCCAATCCAATGGCATCAGAGCTGCGGAGGTCCAATTCAAGATCATGAACCAATTGAGCATTGGGATTCTCGAAGGCATTGCTGTGACGCTTTATGCTACTGCTATGAGACTGATGGTGGTGATGCTGTGATTTGAAGCACCCTTTTACGAAAAAATTGCGGCCAAGGCGTGTGTTCCTCGTATTCCTGATTTTCCCAGGAAAAGTTGCATACTTGCAAGAGTGGTCTCTGGAGAAATGGGATGGCGGCCATTGAGCTCGGCCTTGAAACCCTTTGTAGCTACCATGGTTATACAAATGAGCAGCCATAGCCTCTGTAAACTGATGATGATGAAGTAAAGTTTGGTGCTTTAAGTTTGTGAAGAAGCGCAAGCCGCCTTGCTTTTTCAAAAACAACATAACGATGCCCAAATGCCCCTCAACCCCGCAACCCCACCATTCAGAAAAATCGCATAAACCCTAAAAATTGCCAAATTGGGCACCAACCCCGAAACGTTACGCTAAGCTTCTTCTGTCTTCTCCATTGGGATTGCAAAAATCTGAGAACTTTCAGTCAAAACTCGCGACACGTCTGCGAAAAAATACAAGAAGATGGGAATGTTAATCCAAAGAATATTTACGTATATCCAGAAAGCATAAAAATTTAGTGTTGAACTTTCGATGCTCTTTCTTCTTGTTTGTTTCTCTCAAAACTCTGCGATCCAATCGTATAAATTGCAAAAAAAAATCTAATAATTATTCGATTTAGTTTAGTAATTTGAGTTTTGAGAATTAATTACTGGTTAATGCGGAAATTCTGCCTTGATTTCCGATTTTCATTTTGCAATTTGATTGTGAGACCTCATAAATCTAAAACCTTTCTAATAAAAAGAGCAAATAGATTCCCTGCCTCCATTTGCAACCTTTCTTCTTCTTTATTCTTTTTTTTTTTTTTTTAGTTTTCTTTAATTTTGTGTTCTTTACCTTGTAAGTGTATATGTCAGGGGCCCACAACAATAAGATCCAACGGTCTTTATTTTGGCTACTCTTTCTATGCTGATGCCCATCCATGTCTTTCATCTTTTTTTTCTTTTTTTTCTTTTCTTGCCATGTGTTTTATCTTTCATTTATTTGCTGCTTTTGTGTAGTTCACAATTTATTCTATTATTTTGCGTTTTATTGGCCATTAAAAAAAGGATAATAAAAAAAGGTGTTATATTCCATTATGGGTTACTTCGGATAAGAGAATTGATGCTATTTTGTGTTTAGTCACAATAAGAATAACACTAATTATTTTGTGATTGTCACAATAAGAACATCTTTAATAGAGGAAGACGTAAACCACCTCTTAAAATACAACTATTCATGTTATGGAAAAAATTTGTTTGAGATTGTTGTATACCTAAATAGTGTTGTATGTGAGTTTCACGAAAATTGGATTTGTTTGAGACTATTGTATCATATGAATAGTTGTATTTTGGGTGAAAGAAATTTGTATTTGAATCTGTCTCCAATTTATGTAATTGTCAGTTCAGCCATCATAATTAATAATGTAACTTATCAGCTAACATGGTTCATAGAACAGCATCATTTTTATTTCCATATGAAGGGGATTTACGTGGGCAAGAACAGAAATTAAGGTATAAAAAAAAAATTTAATTGATTCACTCACAAGTAACCCTTAAAATATACAAAGAAGTGGTGGAAATTAGATCATCAATGTGGACACTAGGACAAGGACAAGTAACACCATCACAACTTTGTGGGAATTGTGCTCCCTTAATCCCGCAGCCGGTGAAGAAGGAGGTCGTCGAGGCTTTTCATGCTTTCCCAGATCAATCATGATCTCGAATCGGCAGGTACGATTCTGACCATTTTGAGTTGGAGATGGATCCGTAGTTGTGGTGACAGAGAGATTGGAGAATTCACAAGCACCTTTGCGCTGATCCATGGTTTGGTAGTACATGTTGAAAGCATAAGAGGCATTACTTCTAGCGTCAAGCATGCCACAAGATGAGCCATATCCAAGGCTTGTGCAATCTGCATAAGAGCAAGCATAGTTGATGCTCTGAACCAAATTGGGGTCTGAAGGGCTTGCATCCGGTGCCATTATGCACCATTTCCTGGCCAAATAGTGCACCCCTTTTGCTGGTACCAAGGCTTTTCCACGACCAATATCCAATGAGTATTTGATTGAGCCATCAAAATTGAAC